GTCCTTCTTCTGGCCACCTCTGGACATTCATAACCCAATTCAACAAGAGAACTGTAGGGGGGAGGGGTGCGGCCACTGCAGGAGCAGATCAGAGGAGTCCGAAGACTCACTATTGTTCATGGAAACATGAAATCATCTCTCCGCTCTGTTGTTGGGTGGTCTGTACACCTGAATGGATAGAAGACCCAATGCTACCTCCAACAGCAGCATTGTATTCTAAAATAATGACATGACACAGGCAGAGGAGCTTTTACAAAAGGGGTTCGTCCATTCAGGTTTGCCTAAAAACAGCTCCTTGACTGTAGCCACTCACTACATCCAGAAACCCAAAACAGCCCCTGTTATACCCACGAAATCCAAACCAGCCCCTTGTTATAGCCAGAACCCTATTACAGCCCTCTGTTATAGACAAAGCCCCAGAACAGCCCCTGTTATATGGATGAAACCCAAAACAGCCCCTTGTTATAGCCAGGTCCCCAGAACAGCCCTCGGTTATAGCCAGGTCCCCAGAACAGCCCTCGGTTATAGCCAAGTCCCCAGAACAGCCCCCGGTTATAGTCAGGTCCCCAGAACAGCCCTCGGTTATAGCCAGGTCCCCAGAACAGCCCCTTGTTATAGCCAGGTCCCCAGAACAGCCCTCGGTTATAGTCAGGTCCCCAGAACAGCCCTCGGTTATAGTCAGGTCCCCAGAACAGCCCCTTGTTATAGCCAGGTCACCAGAACAGCCATTATAGCCAGATCCCCAGAGCAGTCCCCTGTTATAGCCAGAACCCCAGAACACCGCAGTTATAGCCAGGTCCCCAGAACACCCATTATAGCCAGAACCCCAGAACAGTCCCGTTATAGCCAGAACCCCAGAACCGCCCTCTGTTATAGCCAGGTCCCCAGAACACCCATTATAGCCAGAACCCCAGAACAGCCCTATGTTATAGCCAGAACCCCAGAACACCCATTATAGCAAGGTACCTAGAGCAGTCCCCCGTTATAGCCAGGTCCCCAGAGCAGCCTCGTGTAATAGACAGAACCCCAGAACCGCCCTCTGTTATAGCCAGGTCCCCAGAACAGCCCTCGGTTATAGTCAGATCCCAAGAACAGCCCTCGGTTATAGCCAGGTCCCCAGAACAGCCCTCGGTTATAGTCAGGTCCCAAGAACAGCCCTCGGTTATAGTCAGGTCCCAAGAACAGCCCTCGGTTATAGTCAGGTCACCAGAACAGCCATTATAGCCAGATCCCCAGAGCAGTCCCCTGTTATAGCCAGAACCCCAGAACACCGCAGTTATAGCCAGGTCCCCAGAACAGCCCTCGGTTATAGTCAGGTCCCCAGAACAGCCCTCGGTTATAGTCAGGTCCCCAGAACAGCCCCTTGTTATAGCCAGAACCCCAGAACACCCATTATAGCAAGGTACCTAGAGCAGTCCCCCGTTATAGCCAGATCCACAGAGCAGCCTCGTGTAATAGACAGAACCCCAGAACAGTCCTCATGGTACATATTTAGTCCTGAAGAATCCTCCTACAATAGCCAGGACACAAGGACAGTCCCCAGGGTACAGAAGCAGTGCTGGAGCAACCTGATAATACAGTCCCCCCAAGCAGTCCACAGGTAGAGGGAGATTTTCCCAATCTCACATTCCATGTGAGATATCACTCCATATTATCATGCTGAAAACTCGAAAACTCAACGGAGCAGAAGCATGGCCTAGTTTACATTGACATTGTGTGATGGTGACAACAGACGAAAGGCATTTTCATTGCTCGCCAGATATAAAAATATGTAACAAAGTATAAATGGGCTGAAGAAAACATCGGCGACAAGTTTGGCCACACAGGTTTGGCAGAGACAAGTCCCCAGAAAATGTTGTCAAGAGGAGAGGGATGGGGGGGGGAGGGCCATCCCCGGTGTGGTGAGCGGAGATGACAGGTCTGCCTGGCTGTGTCAACATGCAATCTTCACAGTTGTTTTCTCCATCTGATCAGGGTGAGTCAGATTTAGACCGCGGGAGCGGTGGCTGTGACTCAGACGCTGCGCCTCCTCAGAAGAAGGACGATCGGATTACGCCAAGTAGTTTATAGTGAAATCCAAAATTATGTGTGACAAAAACTAGCGGAGCTCAATGGCGGCCGCATACATTACAATCACCTTCCATCTAATAGTCATCAGCTGCAGTCACTGTCCAGGTATTCCGACAGCACCGGGCAACCGTTCCCTCACAGTTACAACAGTTCCCAACATTTAGAACCACTCCAAACGTTTACAACTGCTCCCAATGAATAGAACTGTTCCCAATGTTTCTAACCTCTCCCAACGTTTAGAACCAATCCTAACATTTGGAAGTGCTTCCAACATTTAGGACCGCTTCCAACGTTTAGGACCCCTTCCAACGTTTAGGACCCCTTCCAACGTTTAGGACCCCTTCCAACGTTTAGGACCGCTTCCAACGTTTAGGACCGCTTCCAACGTTTAGGACCCCTTCCAACGTTTAGAACCGCTTCCAACGTTTAGGACCGCTTCCAGCGTTTAGAACCGCTTCCAACGTTTAGAACCGCTTCCAACGTTTAGAACCGCTTCCAACGTTTAGAACCGCTTCCAACATTTAGAACCGCTTCCAACATTTAGAACCGCTTCCAGCGTTTAGAACCGCTTCCAACATTTAGAACCGCTTCCATTGTTTAGAACCGCTTCCAACATTTAGAACCGCTTCCAGCGTTTAGAACCGCTTCCAACATTTAGAACCGCTAACAAGAGTCAAAAAACAAAGTAAATAGAAAGCTGCAACAGCTGCACTGGAGACACGTACGTTTAGCAGTAGAGATGACGGGTTGTGGACACATTTACACCCTATTGATAATATATCACATGACTGCTACCTTCCACTCACAACTACCTGAGACCCCCTGACCTCTCCCAATGAGAGAGAACTTTGTGAATACTCTTCATAGCGTGTGCGACGGGTTTTAGATGCATTTAGCAGACCTTTGCAAAGTGTTACCCGAGGCTCTGAGACTGCTTTGTGCAACGGGTTTGTATAAGGAGAACCATGCGGTCTGAGTGCCGGAAAAAAACACTTGCTGAATGTCTTCTGAGCATTTAATGCGTGTTTGGGGCGCCCTGTAATTGAGGAGTTTGGCAAGCCGTGCAAGTTACCAACCAAACCTTGCAGACACCAGATCAGCGTGACGTAACATTTGCCTTTCTGGTAAAGAATAGGCGTTGGATTTGTTTTGTGTTTGGAGAGTGACCAGAACATAAAGCAAATGTCTGTTCTTTACTCTCCTCTAACTGAGGACTTCCTGAGCCACAAAACAAGCAGTATGGTTTTTACATATAGATAATATTGGTCCTGTGACTAAAGTTTCATAAGCACTGTGTATCATAAACATTTGTCATTTGTTTGGCATTTTGTATTAAATATTGTTATTACCTCTATTTCATCCTTTGCTCCTGCAGCCACTTCCTGCCTGCATGCACTCCAGCGATGGCTGCACGACATTTCCCAGGGTTGGTTTCCTGATGGTGACAACAGTGGACCGTGTTTGTGTAATGTACGCTGAAACTTGTAGTCAGAGACAGGGACAGAGTGTTCCCCCCCCTATAACAGGAAGTGGCTGAACTTCCTGTGGAAGTGGAAGGACCTCCGTGGCAGGATCACCAGGGATTAGTATAATGAAAGGCGGAAATTTGAAGAAGATTGAACACAAGTTTGGAAATGACATGAACATGTTAAAGGAGAACTATGAGGGGGGTGATTTTCACTCCTCCTCATAGTTCTAGCCGACGTGTGACAATGAAACTGTTGCATGTCAGCTCTATAGATCGGGAAGTGAGGGAACACATACCGTCGCTCGCTCACTTCTCGATCCTGTCCCTGCAGAGAGCCATGACCGTCACTCACGGCTCCCTGCAGAGATTCCCCCCTCCCCTCTCCGATCCTCCAGCGCTGACTGGCGGAAAGGACGGGGGAGGGGGCGGGTACAGCTGGCTCTGCCTCTAGATAGGAAGAGCCAGCTGTCAATCACGCAGCTGGGTGGATCTCAACGCTTATGTCAGGATCCGGCCCGGCTGCGGCGTCTCAGTATACCTGAGCTTTGGGTGACGGGAGGACGCTAGTTTGTGTCCTCCAGTTCCCTTAGGAGAACTATGGGGAAAAACACTGACCCCATAGTTCTCCTAAGTGTCAAGGGAGGACACAAACTAGCGTCCTCCCGTTACCCTAAGCTCAGTATATAGGGAGCTACAGCTCGAGGTATACTGAGACGCCGGAGCGGATCCCGACTTAGAAGTCGGGATCTGCCCAGCTGTGTGACAGCTGGCTCCGCCTATTTAGAGGCAGAGCCAGCTGTACCCGCCCCCTCCCCGTCCGTTCCGCCAGTCAGCGCAGGCAGATCGGAGCGGGGAGAGGGGAACCCAGCCTCTCCCCCTGTAACGGCAGAGAGCCGTGACAGGATCGAGAGGTGAGCGAACGCCGGTATGTGTTCTCTCACCTCCCGATATACTGAGCCGACCTGTGACAGTCTCATTGTCACAGGTCGGCTAGAACTACGAGGTGAGTGAAAATCACCCCCCACTCCCCCCTCATAGTTCTCCTTTAAAGTATCATCTGAGATTTTAGCGATTGGGTTTACTTGAATGTTTGCGAATACAAAGTAAATATTTATTTCTCAGTGAAGTAACTGTTTGTATACACAGACGTGAGCAGGATGCAACAATGTCATTATTTATTAAATAAAGCCAAACACTTCATCAGCAGCAAGTAGAACAATTCCCCATCTGACAAAGCGGGTGATTAAGGAGACGAAGAGTCATGTCGAAGTATGTAGAAGCCCCCCATAGCACCGGGCCTGCCTATAAACTGTGCTGACTGATCCCAACAGCTGTGTGCTCCAAGACTTGTCCGGCCCCTTCCCCGATCCCAGCCAAAAATCCCTGACAGACACACGCCAGTAGATGAGAGGTCCCTGCATAGTATAGGAGAAGCCCGAGACCCCCCGTAAAGACTCAGAGACCCCCAGGATCCAAACACCACCACCACCACCATGCAGGAACTTAAAGCCCTGAAGATCCGGATCGCCTTCTTTATCACCCTGATTGGGGTGTCCCTGATGCTGGCCGCCGTTATGAGCAACCACTGGGCGGTCATGAGCCCGAAGGTGGACGATTTCACCCAGCCCTGCGAGGTGGCCCACTTCGGCCTGTGGAAACTGTGCACCAAGCAGATCTTAGTGGTGGGGAACGACGTAGAAAGCACACTGTGCGGTCCGCTCAGTCTTCCCGGAGGTAGGTTCTCTTTATTTACACTATGGATACATTGAGATGTCTGCAGGGGATATTTCCAATACAAGCTGTTATGCGAGTCGTCTCCGACTGGGAGCGATGGGCATTGGGTTGGACCACCAGAGAGCACGCTATGCTCCCAGCTCCCAACACCAAAGTCAGACCGTGTCCTCTTATTGAGTGATTTATAATGAGAAGGCTGCTAGTGTCACTTCCCATTGCGATTAGTGATGGTCTCGGGCATGTCCGCAGCTCCACGCGCCGAGCCCGCCAGGAAGCTGACAGCGCCAATCACAGGCACTGAGACATTGCTCGATCTCTGCAGCTGCGGACAGGGATAATGTCTCAGTACCTGTGATTTGCGCTGCGGCGCTGTCAGCTTCCCGTCACGTGGAGCTGCGAACACGCCCCAGAGCCCATCACTAATTGCGATCACTATAAAAGCTGGCCACACACGTTACAATTAAGTTCTACAATCTTCTTTACATAGTAACAAATAGGCACCTGATTAGATATATTCACAAGACTCGGACTACATGCGAGTCGGGGGATTAAAGTGACATTCTCAGATTTTGTAACATAAACCAATACTGTAATGTGCGCCTTACTGTAATCCATGGTAGTTTCCCTTCTCTTTGCTGCTCTTCCTTTTAAATCCTCATGTCTTCTCATGCTGGGGGAGAACTTCCCTTTGCGGCTGAGTGCCTCTTCCTGTAGTGCTGGCTCAGGTTGTGAACCTTCACACAGACACCGTGTATCCATTCCAGAGACAAGGCAGTCTGCTGCAAAACAGAAGTTCTCCCCCAGCATGAGAAGACATGAGGATTTAAAAGGAAGAGCAGCAAAGAGAAGGGAAACAACCATGGATTACAGTAAGGAGCACATTACAGAAATTGTTTTATGTTACAAAATCTGAGGGTTTCATGTCACTTTAAAACCAACCCAAAAGATGGCCATCTACATCCCAGATAGCGAGGATAACTTGCCACAGACTTGTGTCCGGGTTACATTGTAATTCTTTCTAACTTGCTGCGCACATCCCCGGCAGGTTGTAGACTCGCAGAACACTCGCAGCAGCACAAGTTCTAGGCGACACTTTTTGAATTTGTAGCAAATGTGCTCGGCAAGTCTCCAGCAAGAGTCCTGCAGGTGTTAGCGAGAGCGCTGCCAGTGTACACAGCACTGCTACAAAGTACATTGATCTGGAGACTTGCCATGCAGACTGGCTGTAATTGCGCAACACAATGGTGAAGCTCGGCAAGTCCAGCAAATAGTTTAGCAAGTCATCATCAAACTTGCAGCTCAATTGCTCGCTATCTGGGATATCTACATGTATCCAACTAACAATGAATCGAGTCTTTGTGTCCACTGAGCTATACATGATACATGAGCTCCACGATAGAAAACACACACACAACAATCCCCGGGCTTCCTTATAAGGGCTTGCTCACACCAAATGCAGACCAGCATGAGTTTCTGCACACGCACTGCTGTGGGTTGTGCCGCGTTTTTTTAGTTTAAAATGGGCTTTCGGTGCGTTAAAGGGCGTTTGCATGCATTTTTTTATGTCTTTACATGCGTTCCAGAGCAGGTAAAATAGGGCCTGCTGCAGTTGTTTTTTTTACATGCTCTGGAACTGAACGCTGCGCTGTGAACTAGAGCCCAAAATACCATTGGAATACATTGGACGCAGTTTTGCTCCGGTCTGTAACTGCTCCGCTCCTGGAACGCGCTCGGTGTGAACAAGGCCTAAGGCCCCATTCACACTGAGCGATTTACCGCGCGATATCGCGGATATTTACCGCGCGATATCGCTCTCCAATGCATGTCAATGGGGCTCTGTCCGTTGCTGTCGCGGGTCGTGCGTCGCTACAGCAGGACCCTTTTTGGAGCGGATTTTGTCGCGATTCTAGGTTGCTCAATGGAACCATTTGCGCGATATGGCGCAGCACACGCGCGATTTGCGAATCGCTCAGTGTGAATGGGGCCTTATAGTCTATATCTCCGAATGTGAATATCGTCATCATTTCTGATCTCCGGACTCCCTCCATCTTGTAAAGCGAGAGTCTACCCGAGACATCCGTACAACTGTATCCAATCAGGGAGATCTGTGTACTTCATAACTGTCAGCAGATCTTACGGAGCAGATTGTACAACCAGATTGTACAGGGTGTGTCCAGCCTCGGGAGCAGATCTGTGTCCATGCCGTCAGCATTCCAATGGCGGATATTGACTGTTAGCTCTTCGGGACAAAACTCTTCATATTTCCTGTTTTCCGGTTTCATCTATCATTTGTCTGCAACGGGAACTGTCTCGTATTTCCCCGTAGCCAATCAGATTCGGGCTGTTTTCCAAATGCCACATTTCAGAGCCTGTGTGAAAGTGGAGGCAGTGACGAAACACAGACAGTTCATATTGCAGACAAGCGGGGAAATGAGGCTGAACTAAAGCTGCCCATACACCTTGCGATCATCGGACGGCGCTTTTCGTTCCGACGATCGAACCGTCGCACGATTTTCGTACAGCGGCCCCATCCTCCCCCGATTATCGCAAGGTCGAATCAGCGGTAATTAACAGAACAGCATCTGGACGAATTGCAGTAAATCGACCGCGCGTATTTTAGCCTGCGCATGAGCAGTAGTGATGGGTTTGGGCGTGTTCGTGCCGAGCCCGCCAGGAAGCTGACTGAGCGCTAATCACAGGCACAAGGACATGTTCCTGGTCCGCAGCTGCAGAGATCGGTAAATGTCTCAGTGCCAGTGATTGGCGCTGCGGCGCTGTCAGCTTCCTGGCGGGCTCGGCACGGGAGCGGCGAACACGCCCGAGCCCATCACTAATGTGCAGTGTAAATCGTACAAATGTTGACGTACGGAAAAACGCCACCAACCTTGCGAAAGTCGTACGATCGACCGAAGTTTTCTAACCCGCTGGTTAGTCAGAAGTCGATGGATGGTACAGTATTTGCGGTTGTACGCCGCCCATCAACCGCACGAATATCGGACGAAAAAAGCGATCGCATACGCAAATCTTCCGATATTGGTAAGGTGTATGGGCAGCTTTACAGAAAACAGAATGCGTACTGTGATCGGGTCGGGAACCCTGAAAATGTAACTATTTGTGTGAATAAAAATGTATCCCA